ATATATACATATTATTTTCTTATATTTTATAAAAAAATACATTTTTACCCAATATGGCTGATTACCAGAAACAGAATTATTCAGATGACTAAAAAAATATCTATAAAAAATGATATGTTATAAAAAATGAAAACTACATCAAAGATATACATATCCATCTTCAGTGGATAAAATATATGAATATCTTACAAATTTCTGATAGAACAGGAAACAATAAAAAAAAAACAATATAGTAATTAATGGTAGATGTGTTTTCCTATATTTGGTACTACCTTGCTGTAACAAAGATTCACTAAAAAGAAAATGCATTAAGAGTGAGCTAATCTCACAATTCTCAACAATAAACCTAAGACCAGGACCTTACATAATATCACCGATCATCTCAAAAGCAATAGTAACACAATGCAGTATATAACAGTATGGTGAGGGAGAAAATAGAGATCAGCTTGGAGTGGGCTGTTTTAAAATCTAGCAGCCAACAATAGCTCTAACATATATATATATATATATATATATAAAGAAAGAACAGTAAGATATATAATCCAGTGTTCTTATTGATATTTTTATTTTTACAAAATAGTGCTCAATGTAAATTTACAGAGCATTAATATTATAAATTAATTGATTTAAAATATGGTTTTTTCGCTACACAGTAATAACCATATTTTAAATCAGTTAATTTATAACCATATTTTAAACCAGTTAATTTATTATATATATATATATATATAAAACACCTATTGGTCTTTGGTCTCTGGTTGTTGGATCTGATAAGGTAATTTAATTTATTGCCCTTCTTATCCTCAAAAATCCTGTGCACATCTTCCTTACACATTTGTCTTTCATTCCAATCTGAAAAAACTGAACCTAACACACATAGGCAAAACATGCCATTAAAAAGCTTTTCCATTTTGCTCCATTATTTACATTTTGTTTTGGATCCGAATATGCTTAATGGATCATATTCAATATAGGTGAACAATTGAACTAGAAAAATTGAAAATAAATACATTGTATCTAAATACAAATTAGAGACATATCATAATAGATCATTCCATCTTAAATCAACAATATTTTGTGGTAATTTTTAACATCAACTTGAGATTTTTCTTGTTAAAAAGTTGAATAATTTTAACACTATTTAACATTAGCAGTGAATGTTAGTGTGTTTTTGAGACTTAGTATGAGCAAAACAAATTCACAGATTTGAACAAAACAAAAAAAAAGAACCTAGAATGATATCAAAATCTGCAAAGATTTTTATCCTTTGTCAGTAATTGAGCTAGTATATTATAAAATATATGTTGAACAGCTAAATAGTTGATGAATCAATGCAAGAACTTAATGATATAGAAGAGATTAAAGAAAAATCAGTTAACTAATTTTTTACTGTGTTATAATTCATCTCCAGATATCAATATATTGCAAATTTTACAAGTATTGACTGATTTTGAGTGCTATCCAAATGAGAAATGTGAACGTTATATAAAATTGACAAACTGATAGCAGTACGATCTTTGCTGCTACTCTTTGTAGCTTAACAACTATTTCTTATCAACTCTTTCAAAATACTTAAAAGAAGACCTGGAAATTAAAAGTTTAGATTGATTATATTTTTTTTATTTTTACAGCCTATCAACCTTCTGCGGGTTACTTAAAGCCAAACATATTCTAAGCATGTAAGAATTTTTTTGAAGATAATAATGATTTACTGATAAAGATCATATTAATTAACCCATAATGGGGGTAGGGAGAAGAAGTGAATTCATAGCTTTCCCAAGCATATAAGTCAATATAATGACTGGAATTGGAACTTGGCACTCCTATATTCAATTCCAAGCCATTAACCATTACACCGCATACACATCCAAGCTTATAACACCTGGTATTACCAAATGGTCACTCATCCAGGCTCAGTGTTGATTAACTTTGGTGATCATATGATTTTTTTTTAAAACTATATATTCCTGCTTTTAGGCAAATTGATTAAATAAACATGTATCAGTTTCATGATCTTGAAAAACTTTGACAAATCTCGGGAGTGGGTTGCCTTGTAAAAATATTCATAGAAAAAGCAGATAAAGTTCAAATACAAAGTTTTTATATTCAAGAAATTTTTAAGGTAATTTTACAAAATTTATTGTATTTTTTGTCAAGTTTCTTCTTTTTGACAGTTTCCTTATGACAACAATAGTTGAGTGATTTGTTTTTTTACAGCCTATGAATGTTTTTTGAAGCCAAAATATTTTTTGAATTGTAGGAGGGTGCTTACAGTACCTGGTGTTCCCAAGTGGCTATCCTATTTAAGTACTGCCTGGGCTTGACACTGCTTAATGTTGGTGATTGACAAAAAATAAACTAGACACAGGAAAATTTCTTAATGACTCCTTTTACTACTTCAACTCATACTTTTACTGGGACTGTTACTTGGACCCACTACATGATACGTTGTTTTTTTATTTTTACATGATGCATGGACCTCGTATTAAGCACAAGAATATGCACAAATATCTAATGACAAGAAATAGACTAAATATTTATGCACAAATATTTAACAGTTCTGCTCAGTTCTGAAATATGTTACCTGAAGAGTATAAAATTTCTAATCACTTTATAACTATATGTGCTTAAAAGCTGAAACTTAGCAGATTAATAATTTGAAATATGTTTTAAATGCTGTATAATGTTTATCTTTCTTCATAAATTTTAATTAAATTTTATTTTAGTAGTTATATCATATCTTAGTAATAATTTTCAATAAAAAGAAGTTTTTATTTTGTATGAACTGATCTAGTAATTAGAAATGTGAACATTATCAAATGAGAAACGTGAACATTATAATTATTTTAATCAAATTTTATTTTAATAGTTATATCATATCTTAGTAATAATTTTCAGTAAAAAGAGGTTCTAATTTTGTATGAATTGATCAAGTAATATATTCTAATAATGTATCTGCTATAATTTATTCTTCTTCTCAGCCTGTGAATGTTCTTTGTCAGACATAAGCTTTCCCTGACTTCACAGGTAGGAATGAGCCATTATTCTACCATGCTAGGGCAATCATATATCTTTTTGATTCATGATCTCCCAAGTGTATTTGCACATAAGTGGATGTAAAAAACCAAACTTGAAATTGAACTCTGCTCTCTGATTTCTTATTCCAAGCCATTATCCATAACACCACCTGCACATCCAAACTTATAGTACCTGGTATTCTCAAACAGTCACCCGTCTAGGTTCAACATTACTTAATTAAGAATACTGGATGATAACCAGTGTTTCAACATGATAAAGCCTGCTATAACTTGAATCTAATTTGTTCATTTTACCTAATCTTTATCTATATAGATTCTTAAAAGTTTTCTTCACAAACACTACAAGTTCAACTTAAAAGATGTCTTTTATTTGCTACATATAACTTTCAGTAATCATGACCTTTGCCTTCCAGAAGGATGCTGAAAATACCATGGACTGAACATGTGAGCAACAATTATGTTTTAAAGAAAATGGAAGCAATAAAGACATTTATACTTAATATCAGAAAGTGACATTTGAAATTTCTAGGACACATAATGAGAAAAGAAGGCTTGGAAAATCTGATACTCACAGGATAGATAGACAGCAAGAGGGACAGAGGACAACAATGCATAACATAGTGATCTTGAGTAAATGGATGGCAGAACAGGGTTTAGGAGAAATAACAGAAAAACAAAGTTTATTAAGAGCTACAAGGGACAGAAAGTTGTGGAGAGCCATGATTGCCAACGTCCTGAGGGGATGCGGCGACTTCTTTTGAAATTAAAGTTTTAGTAATTTAAACAATACAGTACCTTATAAGGAAATGTGGTTCTACAGAAGGATGCTGAGGTTTCTATGGACTGAACATGAGAGCAATGACAAAGTTTTAGAGAAGATGGAAACAAAAAGGAAACTTATACTTTACCCCAGGAAGAGACAGTTGACGTTTCTATGGCATGTAATGAGGAAAGAGGTCTTGGTAAATTTGATACTCACAACACAGATTGATGGCAAAGGAGAGAGGAAAACAAGGCTTAACCTACCTAGTGAACTTGAATAAATGGAGGGTTGAGCAAGGAAATAACAAAAAGACAAAATTTACTAAGATCTACAAAGGACAGGAAATTGTGGAGAGTTGTGGTCACCAAAGTCCTGAATGGACACAGCACATAGAATAAAAAGAATACAAATAAGAATATTTCTGGGAATCACTTCCATTCTTTCTGTCCCTTTTTTGTGCTCCATTTATTTGAAAGAGTCAGTTACCATAATTATTATGATCACTTTAAGGAATAATTTCTTCAGCAAGTCTTTTTATGCAAATGATATCTTGGTCAGAAAGATGAGAGTTTATATCGGTTAGATGTTAGTCAGATTTGATTTCTACATTGATTGGTTCTGGAGCATAAAAGAGAAAACACAATAAACCACTTTAATTTGATTTTATTTCAATTCATTTTTGTTTTTTGTTTTGTTTTTTTTTTTTCAAATTGCAGCCAATAATTTCATATCCTTGACTTTGTTGTATCAGGAATTTTTTTTTTTTATATTTAATTGAAAGCAATCAGACTATCCCAACTTCTTGCGTCATAATATGCTGAAGGCTCTGAAAAAGAGGTTTGGTTACTTGAGTAAGGTGTGGGAGAAAGAAAGAAAGAAAGAGGCAAAGAAGGTGAAAGAAAAATGAAAGTTTTTCTTCATTAAGATAGCTTTGTTCAAAATTAAGAAATATTAAAAATATGAATAGAAATCACCAAAAGGAGTTATAATAATAATTATACTACTACTAATAATAATGGAAATAATAAAAAGTAGAAATGCAAAAATAGCAACTATAATAATGATAATAATATAATTATAATCAAGATGATAATAATTATAATGATAATAATAACCATAATGATAATGATTTTTTTAACAAAATGAAAGTTGAAATTTTCTGACAATAACATTGCAATGATTGGTTCCCTTTGAGAGAAATGCATTTTTCCTTCCTTTTATTTTTTTTTCCTTTTCCTTTCATTTGTTTGTTTCTTCCTTCTTTCAATTATCATCATAAATTCCATCTTTGTCTGTATGCTCTTCATTTTCCCCCTGCCCCCATCCATTCTTTAATTGTCTGCCTAATTCTTTCCTTGCCTAAATCTTCATTTGTTTTACTTCCCTCCCATTTTCAAAAGCAAATTTCCTTCTTCTCCCATTTGCTTCTCACTTTTCAACTAATTTCCTCTCCTCTGTTATTTTTCTTTCTCACTCTCAATATCCTTTGCGCCTGTCGTTTTTCTTAATTCTGTTACTGTTCCATTCATTATCAATTCCTTTTTATTCTTTCTCTCTTTGCCTATATTTTTCTTCACCTTCTTTATTAAATAACTTAATGCCTTATTTTTTTTCCAGTTCAATTTCTATCAGGTGGTGTAATGGATATTGGCTCGGAATGAGAAATCTGAGAGCCGAGTTCAAATTCCAGCCAGGTTCATTACATTCACTTATGTGCAAAAACCCTTGATAAAATTATGAATCCAGCTTCAAAAGTGGCTGTTAGAGGTTCTTTGGCAGATAAGTGGGATAATCCCACAAACAAAATCCACTTATAAAATATGTGCAATAATCACAAGATGTAAGAGATAACTTTTAACTAGACCTTATAATGATGCCTAAGTGAAAGATTACATTCTAAGTATGTTGTTTGAATTCCTGTTGTGAGGTTAATATTATGCAATTTTGCTATTTTATTCAATTTATATATTATACTTATATTGATATTCAATTTAAATAAGACATATATTGAGCAACTAAATAATTGATTAATCAGTGAAAAAACCTACAGTCAAGAGTTTAAAAGTCAGTTAACCAATTTTCTGACTGATTTTTTTATGATGATTCATCTGAAGATGAATCATCATACAGATAATTACAAATTTTACAAGGATTAAATTGACTCATTTTGAGACAATAGGTTAAGTAGTAAAGCAATCTGGACACTTCAGCCTTTGTTAGCAACCAGGCTAGAATGACAACTTTGAATTCAAAAGACATACTGTATATTTCTGCATATAAGATGACCTTTTGATAAGACAAAGTAAAAAAAAAATATAGCAAATTATTCATGAATTTATCCTATACCTGTAGTATAAGATGACTGCTTATTGATTATATAAAGATGATGCTATTTGAAATGTTGTTACTTACTGTATCTTCAGAAATTTAAAATAAATGAAATAACAAAATCGATTCTATATCATGTTTTCCCTACACATGTCCCCTAAAAGGGAAAGCATTGTTTTGTTTACATTTCATCACATGATCTCTTGTGAATACTGATTCTTCTTCCTATTGTTTTCCTATATCTAAACAGTTACAAACAGCCTGGTGTAGTAATGGCCATTTACTTATACTTCATCGACAATCACAAAATACCACTAATAACAGTACAATAATGTATAACAGTATATTCCATTGTTTTGAATGCAATCATAATTTGTTTACATTTTCTCAGCTGAGTTTGCATGGATACAAGCTGATTTCATTGATATGGAATTATTTTTAAAATAAACAATCTATTATGAAATTATGCCAGTAATATATAAGATAGAAATGGTTTTATTATTTTTATTATTAGTTTATTTGATAATGTGAATCTTTTCATGTGCTTTATTGGTTACTGCACCAAAGCCGAGTTGAGCCTACTGACAAACATCACTCCGAATTTAAAGTTTCTTTTTTAGAATTGTAGTATAAGATGACCCCCAATTTTTAAAGATAATTCTTGGTATTTAAAGGTCATCTTATATGTGGAAATATATGTAGCCTTAGCGAAGCACATACTATATACAACTAATGAAAGGATTGTGGTGTTCCCAATGACTATGATCACAACTGAGGTTGGCCTTGTCACTGGTTCAATTTTTCATCATTCTTTTTAGTCTTTCCTTTAGTACTAATTCTCCACCAGTTCCCTCTCAGTTACTCTTTTTCTATTCTCAGTTTCCTTACCTGTTTTTTCTTTACCTCCCTTTACCTTATTCTTCATCCCTCTTTCTTAGTTTCTATCTTTTTCCTCTTCAACAAAATAAACTTTCTATTATTTTTTTCTTTCTTCTTACTCTGATTAACTCTTATCTGTTAATTGATTTATATTTATTTCCTTTTTTGCCACATCCACTTTCAACCTACTTTATTTCTTTTACTCTTTTTTTTTCATCCCTCCTCATCTCTCTTTTCATTTTCTGTCAACTTTCTTTTTCATTTTTGCCTATTTATTAGTTCTATTTTCTATCAAATTTCTTTTTCTCATACTTCTTTCATTTTCCATTCCATATAGCAGACAGTCACATTCCTCTTTCTTCCACTTTTAAATCAATTCCATCTCATCTTCCATTTTTTCTGCTCTTTGCAATATGTCCTCCCTATTTCTTTCTGTTCTTACTTTCTCTTCTTTTTCTGTTATTTTACTGTTTCATTTTTATTTCTTTTACAGCTCTTTCACTTCTCACCTTTTTGGCTTTTTATACCAAAAATTTTTTCTTTATTTTTCACCTATTTTCTTCTCTTTTTTATTCACCCCCTCTTCAACTTGTCAGTTTGAAAAAAAATTCCCCCTTTCTTCTCACTTAACCAAATTCATTTTTTTAAAATTCTTCTCTATATCAACCCTACTTTACCAACCAACTTTAATTATCTCCCTTGTTTATCCATTTTTTTTTTTATAACAAATTTGTCTGTTTTTGTTCTATTTTATATATTTTATGATTATGCCTTCTGTCTGTGAACTGATTTACATTTCTTAAAATTATTACAAGTATTTTTTTCTAATCATTAAAGTTAATAAGTACATATATATATATATATATATATATATATATATATATATATATATTACTGACAAATTAGATATAAAATTTAAGGACTCAATAAATTCCATCTCCAAGGTGAATTTCAAGGTTTCAGGGAAAATCTTTTACTTTTTAATTTTTTTTTTTATTTACAGAATTTGGACAGTCAGAAAAAAAAAAAAACTCCTTTATAAAAATAATTCATATAAATGTACTAATATAGAAAAGGATGAAGATTCTCAACAATATATGCATATTATTTAGAATATACCTTTTAAGCGAGACAATTTTTGAAAAGAGGAGATTTACATTCTGACATATGGTGAAAAGAATGCATTGGGCAAAAATGGTTGTGAACCACTGGTCTAGATGTTATAGAATTTGAAAATTTCTTATGAGATACATTTCATTCTTTATATGCAGTTATTTTGCATCTGGCAAAACTTTATATATATATATATATATATATATATATATGGTATGATGGATAAATTGTCATCTAAATTATGCAAAAGTGAAAATAAGACTGACATCTCTTATTAACAGACATATTTCCCAAAATTACACGAAATTATCTTGAAATTCTAAAGAGTAAATTTATGCAATAAAATTGCCATTGGCTTCACCAATGACCTCCAGACGACTTTGGAATCTTCTGCAATTCTTCTGGATGACCTTCTTTTTGGTGAGTGCCAATATATTCTTTGTCTCAGTCCATCTTTGGTGTTACAAGGAGTATTGATGGTCTCTCATTCAACAAAATAATCAAGGGTGATGCACTGAATAAATTTACTACAACTTCCCATTTCCTCATTAGCGGAGGAGTTTATTAAAACTGGTACCAAATGGTCAGCAGTAGAAGCCACCCAAGAAGCAGAATCCAGTCTATGAACCAAAGAGATTATGGGGGTGACCCAAACCAATCAAGCTAGCCTGAGTAGCACAAGCAACCAGTTTTTCTTCAAACAGGGTCCAAGGGGAAAACAAGACAGGGTAATTGAAGAAATCAGGAATTTTGAGGAAGAGCAGCGAACAGCTACTGCTGTTTCTCAGTCCAAACAATGTGCTTGGATGACATGGAGTGATATTGATCCGATGAAGCTATCATTGAATACCCTGGTTGCAATGGAACCATTGACAATATCATTCCTCCTGCAATCTACCAATGATCTCCAATCAAATGCAACTAACACTGAAAATCTGACTTGCAGTTATAAAACACAATAGTGACTGACATATCTACACAAAAACAATACCCTGTCTCGTGGCAAAAGCTTTTTCTGCCACCAAGGGTGTTGGCTGACAAGGGAAGGGTATCACACATGCTTTCATATGTTGCATATGGAAAAAATATTCAAAATTTAAACAAATTAATTTCTAAAGAATTGATGGATTTTATTTTTTAAATCTGACATGTTTTTTTGTTAATTCACATATTTTTAGTGGATACCTGTTTTATTTTATTTTTGACTTTTATTTTAAATAGTATCTATTTCATCTTTTGGCCTGCACACTCATATATATATATATATATATTACTTACACACAAACACACAATGTGTCTAAGTGGTGCTGACTTATCAGTTACTCTCCTTTCCTGATCTGCACTCATCTTGAAACAGAATTTTCCACTTCTCTGTGCCTTTTCTATAAATGTTTTCACAGTAATTGTTCAATTTAATTGTTCCTCTTTAGTACCTCAACTTTATGAATTTAAGCGCATTACTAGATTGACATCCAGGTTTCAAAATTTCACTGTTGAAAAGGCTAGATGTAACCATAAATTCTATGCTAGTTTTTTTTTCTTCATGATTTCAATTTGTGAAACTCTCTTTTTTTCTTGCTTTAAAGTCAATTCTGATCTTCAAAATTTTAAATTCTATATCAATCATTATCTTCTTGATTCCTGTTCTTTTATTTATTTTTCTTTTATTGCTCAGTGTTCTTAATAACGTTTTCTTTTCTTCATATTATCCCCCACTTACTAACCACTTGTGTCTTAGTGGCTTTGTTGCCTGCATGGCATAAAATGATTAAAAAAAGAATTTGGTCAGATATTTGGAAATGGGTTGGGCTGAGAACTTTCTAGTATCCATCTGTATATGTATGCATAATGTCAGATTTTATTATACATGTGTTTTCACAATAAAACAATTGATTTTGGTAAAAAAATTTCAGGATTTGTCTTTTATTTATGTATTAAATATCGCATGTGAATTTCAGCCTATTAGATAAATAATTATTATTAATTTTGAAAGCATAATTTTTGATCTAGGTTAGTGTTGTAACCTAAGGAAGGTTACTGAATAGAATAATCACATGAAGGTTGGTAATGAACTTAGGAGAAGAACAACACATATAAGATGCATATAAGTAGTCAATTGCTAGAAGTGAGTCAAATGAATTCCACAATGAATTTCCAACTGCAGACCAACATACAGTATTTACTACTGTATTTATGTAAATGGGCACATAACCCATTATCATCTGTAGGTATGCTACAACCATTAGGTGTAACTGTACGTTCTATGCTAACAGTTTCTTCTCTATCTCTTCTTGCTTGTGCAACACTCTCCTGGCTTATTTATAGTACAATAAAACCTCAAATTAATAGTCCAAGAACCAACAGACACCAGATTTAATGGACAAAATCCACAGAAATGTTAGTCTATGAGTTCTAGAATTGGTCGTTGTTGTTTACTGGTGCAATCAACAAACAGAGAATGGTAGTTCCTGGAATAGCCTCTATTGTTTATTTGGGCACTCGTCATCTACACACATGCATGATCTCTTGAACATTTTATATTGATTTTGATACAGTATACAGTGTTGCTTTTTGTCAAACCCATTACTATTGTGTGTGTAATTTATTTTAAGTTACTATCTAGTAACCTAAAAATAAAATACATGTATGTGTATATATATATATATATATATATATATATTGTATTTACATTTATTGACAATAATTTTGTACCATACTGGGTGTTTTTAGGCCATGAAAAAAGTGCTTCAAATTAACAGACAACCCTCCCTCTTACTAGTCTGTTAAATTGAGGTTCTACTGTACTGGTAAATGTGAGAAAGGAAAACATTTTAAATATGTAAAAACAGATGAAACCTGTAATAAAAATTTTATTCAAACTTAATTTTTATTTCACTCTTTCAAAATGGATGCCCACAGCAGTCATACCCTCTGCCCCCCACACACACTTCTGCAAATAACTGCTTATTTGATATTTTTATTCTATCAAGCATGATTCAGTAAGATTTATCTTTGCTAGTGTTTGATATCTCTTAACAGTTATATCCCTTGAGTTTGATCAACCTACCCAAATATATCATTAACTCTTTCTTTTATATCATATCATATTTGTACTACTTAGCTTATGAAATGTGTATGCAAATATAACAACAGGTATAGCAATATTTTATTGATTTTAATTGTGATTGATGAATATCTGTAGAGTGACTAGTCATGGCTAAATGTAAATAAATGGCAGAAGTGCCCAACAAACAGAATTGACAAAGTTTGCAATCAGCAATAACAAGAAAAAGAAAAGAACAGGGAAAAAAAAAATAATATAAAACAAGCAAAGAATATATGCAAGGCAATGCAACAGTAATATGGCAAAATGTTCACAAACTAAGAATTAGAGTTGACACACAAAACAAGTATGGATAAGCAAACGCAGCATTCCGACTTTAAGACAAGACAGACTGGGACTGAGTCATATGAAACTGAGCACTGGCCAGTTTTATTGGCTAGGAAGAAATTCAAGTATGCATTTGTGTGCTTTTGCTTATAAACTGGGAAGTGTTTTGCAGTCAGTCCCATTTTGGATTGGAATTAACAATACCAAATGAAGGGTTGGTCTTTCTATGACTTGTTGGCTCACTTTTTATACTCTCAGAGAATGATGCAGAAAAATATATGAAAACTATGTAAAAATAACAAAGATTTATCTGAATAAACCCTGGAATAAAAAAATATCAACATTGAAAATGTTCTATCTGTATTGATTATTATGATGTTCATACTTTTCAAGATTTTCAGTTATAAACTTCACATTTTACTTAATTTATTTGGTTATATTAATCTGCAACAGAAAATGTGACACAGAAATTTGAAAGTGCATTGCAATAGCAAAAGTTGCCTTGATAAAGCTATATAAAGTATTAAGAAACAGTAAAAAATTTTATAAATGAAAATCTCTGAACTGGGAGGTTATCAATGTCCTCATATATGGCAGTGAATGCTGAACAATTTCCTCACAGATAGAGAAGAGATTTGAGGCAATAGAGATAGGGTTCAACAAAAGTTTAACATGAACACTGCATATGAGCAATAAGGAAGTTTTAAGGAAAATGAAAAGTAAAAAAAGACACTTTTACTTAGTATCAGAAAGAGAAAGTTGAAATTTCTGGGACACATAATGAGGAAAAAGGGCTTGGAGATTCTGATATATAGAGGATATTTTTCAAAAGGGACAGAAAGTACACTACCTAATGATCTTGTGTAAATGGTTGGACTGGGAGGAATAATGAGGAAAACTTTGATCAGGTATATGAAGGATGGCAAGTTGTATAGAGCTACGTTTTTGAAGGGACATTGCACAATTGCATTTCTCATCTGTGATTAATACACAGATGAGAAATGCAATTGTGCAATGTCTATACATCTATAGAAATCAAGTACATAATTACATTCTTCTTTTCTGTATAAAATTTTTGGGTATCATT